AGCTATTTTTTAAATAAAGTTGCACGAGTCTTAGGGGAGGGGTTCTCTAAGGCCCCTTTTCATTTCTGGACCACCCAAAACCGACTGTTTTTCCAGGGGTTTCCCAGACCCACCCCCTTCCCTTGCTGATTTCCCAATTTCAAGTTGCTGGGGGTCCCCAAAGGGCAACCCCAGCGAGACTCTGTCTCAAAAAGAAAAGAAAAGAAAAAAGAAAAGGAATCTGCAGACTAAAAAAGACGTATCAGATTATAAAATGGGGAAGATTCAATGATAATATCTAAGGATGAACATTTATTGAGGTGATAGAACTATAAATAAGTGTGAGGAAGTAATTGTTATAAGTCAGGCTAGCGGTTACTTAAGGCAGATATGAGGGAGCTGTGATTGCAACAGTGGGGGCTAGAAAAGTTTCATTTCTTGATTAGTTGGCTGAGTGGTAGCTACAATAAAATTCTCTTATGTGATTTATTAAGCTACGCATTTGTTTTGTATGTTTTTCTTTACCTTGTGAATTTGACTTTTGGTTTCTTTACTTTTTATGTTTTTTGAGACAAGGTCTCACTCTGGTTATTGGCTGGTCACGATCATAGCTCATTGCAGCCTCAAACTCCTGGGTTCAAGCAAACCTCCCACCTCAGCCTCCTGAGTAGCTGGAACTACAAGCACACACCACCATGCCCACCTAATTTAAAAAAATATCTGTGGACACGTAGCATCACTATGTAGCCCAGGCTGATGATCTTGAACTCCTAGCCTCAAGTGATGCTCTCACCCTGATCTCAAAGCACTAGAATTATAGGCCTGAGCCACCACTGCCCAGCCTGAGGTTGATTTTTTAATTCAAGGGCAAGGCTTGCACTTATCCCCACTAAATTATATTCATCTCATATCTCTGGATTCTTAAGATGCCTTTGGATTCTCATGCTACTCAACATGATTGTTATTCTTCTTGGCTTAATGCTATCCACAAATTCAGGGGCAAAGTATCTTCACCGAAACAACGAATTAAAAAAAGAGGTTGACAACCTAAATTCTGGATCTTGATTTGGGTGGTGCTTGCACAGGTGTATATATTCATTGTAACTCACTAAACTCTACACTTAAAATAGGTCCATGCCTCCCTCATGTTTGCTTGTTTGATTTGCTTTCCTTTCCTGACAGCAGGAGTCATTCATTGTGACTCATCTATGATCATGCAAACAACCAGCTGAAGATGAGGGAACAACTTGTTGGAAGGAACCTAAGGCTCTTCATGACCATTTGGGGTACAGCTACTTACTGACTGGGAATGTTTACCTACAGGTTTTAGGTGAGAGAGAAACAAACTTCTTTCATTTTTAAGCCACAGTATTGTCAGGGGTATTTGGAACAGCAGCACAGTCTATTACTCTAATAACTCATATGCCTTCAGGTGCCAAGCAAGGAACAGAAATATACAAAGAGGCCAGGTGTGGTGGCTCACGCCTGTAATCCCAGCACTTTAGGAGGCTGAGGCAGGCAGATCACTTGAAGTCAGGAGTTCAAGACCAGCCTGGCCAACGCAGTGAAACCCCCATCTCTACTAATACAAAATTAGCTGGGCGTGGTGGCACTAACCTATAATCTCAGCTACTTGGAGGCTGAGGCGGGAGAATCACTTGAACCCGGGAGGCGGAGGTTGCAATGAGCTGAGATCATGCCACCGCACTCCAGCCTGGGCAACAGAACGAGACTATCTCAAAAAAACAAAAAAAGAAAGAAAAAGAAAGAAAGAAAGAAATATATATATATATAAAGAGGGCCAGGCACGGTGGCTCACGCCTGTAATCCCAAATCCCAGCACTTCAGAAGGCCGAACCAGGTGGATCACTGGAGGTCAGGAGTTCAAGACCAGACTGGCCAACATGGTGAAACCCTGTCTCTATGGAGAATCACTTGAACCTGGGTGGCAGAGGTTGCAGTGAGTCGAGATCATGCCACTGCACTCCAGCCTGGGCAACAGAGTGAGACTTTGTCTCAAAATAAATAAATAAATAAATAAACTAACAAAGGGGCAGGAGTAAGACACTGAGAACTGTGGTGAGTTAGTACATACTGTCCTAAAAACACTCAAAAAAATTGTAATTTTTTAAAGCATTCTGTACTGAAAACAAAATGCAGAGTCAAATTCTACCTGATGGCTATAGTTTGCAAACCTAGGTTAATCAGGACAACTTGAGTAACATTATTCTTCCAGCTACAAATTCATGTTGTCTTGCATACATTTCTTCTCTTTGTATAGAAGTACATCATAAGAGACCTAAGCAAATGACTTATTACAGTCCATGTTTTCTTGATTAGGATATAACCTAAGCTGCTATCACATGGAGACTTAAAAATGCGGTGGCTCAGATAAAATGCAGGCCTATTTCTCTTTAACATACAGCCTGCGGGGGGAGATAAGTGTTTTTTCTTCATGTGGCCATCCAGGGACTCAGGGACCCTCTGGGCTGTTGCTCCACAGTCCCCTGGGTATTGTTCTGACTATTTGGATGACGTTCCCTCACCACTTTCAGACCGCAGAACAAGGAAGGAGAAAGTGGAGGGGAGCAATCCAGGGACCAGACTGATGGCTCCTTCTTACACCCCATTAGCCAGAACCTAGTCATGTGGCCACACCCAGCCACAGTGGAGTGCAGAAAGTGGAGTCTCTATATAAGCCATCATGCTCCCAATTAAAACTCAGTGGGTGCTTTTAATAAAAAGATGAGGAGAATGTTTATTGGGGAACAATTAGCCATCTCTGCTACATATTCACTAGTCTAATAAGTTTCCGGACGATCTGATGCTATATTCTTCAACAACCTCTGTTGAATTCTTGGTCTTCAGTTTTTATTAGGAGCAGACTTTGAATAACCCATTCTAGACTCTCACTCAGAATCATTGTCAGGTTCATCAGTCTTACTTTGCAGAAATGAACTCTTTTTACTTTGGAAGACTGGAGTTTGCTTTTATTTTTTCCCATCTCCCTAGAACACTCACTCCTCAGGATTCTTCAGAGATCAATCCCTTGGTGATTTCCACCTCAACCACTCCTGATGCCATGGAATATCACTCTTACTGGTCATGCGACAGAAAAATAAAAAAGTAAAGGAAAGAAATGAAACTATTTCAACTAGTCTAGTGAATAAGCAAAAACAAAGAGTGTCGGGAAATTTAAAAGAGGAATTAAAATTCTTTTTTTGTTTTTTTCGAGATGGAGTTTTGCTCTTGTTGCCCAAGCTGGAGTGCAATGGCATGATCTGGGCTCACTGCAACCTCCACCTCCCTGGTTCAAATGATTCTTCTGCCTCAGCCTCCCAAGTAGCTGGGATTACAGGCACCTGTCACCACACCCGGCTAATTTTTGTATTTTTAGTAGAGACGGGGTTTCACCACGTTGGCCAGGCTGGTCTCAAACTCCTGAGCTCAAGTGATCCGCCTACTTGGGCCTCCCAAAGTGCTGAGATTACAGGTGTGAGCTACCTCGCCCGGCCAAAATTCATTTTTGAGAGAAGTTTAGCTACATCAGGAAAAGGTTTCAAGTCATTTATTAAACAATGGATAATGATTTTATGTCAATCTTCTTTATATACATGCATCCATAGGGTTTTGTTTTATTTTATTTTACCATAACTCAAGTTAACTAGAATTGCGAACATCAGCTTCTCTGAATAATCACTACGAAATCTTCCAAAAGAAAGGCAAGGGCTATAATCCTAGTCTAAATTTTTGGCTGTCCTCCCAATTAAGTGTCAAAACAATCACTTCCTTTGGGATAATTATTCTTTATTTTACTGAAGAGCCTTTTTAGTGGTTGATTCTGAATAATTATATATCATGCTTGACTTTCCTTGCATATAATGTGAATTTTTTTTCTTATTCTCTATGGTAACTGCTAAAATATTTCAAGCTTATTTTTTTTCTCTCTTAAATACCTATCTAGTTTTCTGGGGCAGAAGGAATGCGGAAATACACAAAGGCAGAGTTAGTATAGGAAGTTTAGGTTAAAAGAAACATATACAGTCATACTTCAATACATGCAGGGGATTGATTCCAGGACTCCCACATATACTTGTGCATACTTTGTGGAAGGTAGATAGGGAAAGTCAGCCCTCAGTATATGTGGGTTTACCATGAATTCTGTATTTATCAACATGTTTGGTTGAAAAAAATCTGTGCATATGTGGACACCTGCAGTTCAAACCCACCTTGTTCAAGGGTCAACTGTATTTCAAGCTTCATGTCTCAAAATCCCCTCCACACTTCATCCACATTGAGTCCACTTGCTTTTTCCTGAAACACATATACATTGTTACACCCTGTGACTTTCCCGGTGTCCTTTATTCAACAGGGAATGTCTTCCCCTTTCATTCTCAGACTATTGATTCTCATTCATCCTTTATTGTCAGCTCCAAATCCACCTCCATCATGACATTTTCCCTAAGCATTCACAACACAATCAAGTGTTTCTGTTTCAGCTAGTAAATAGTTGCCCACTAACTTTTCAAAGACAGTGTGTGCAAGTGAATTTTTTTTATTTTAAAGAAACTTCATAGTTTTTACATTTACACTACACCCAAGATTATTCTTTTTCATCAGGCTACCACTTTTGTGGTCGCTATCTGCTGGTATGGTTCCTTTCTTGAAATTTAGGCATAAGGTAAACTGATTGTCCTACAACAGCAAGAAACCCCAGGCTAGCTGATCGAAAATACCGGCGTCTAGCAGACAGCTCAGCACGAAAGCATTTCGGTTCCTCTCCAGTCCTATCCTTGATTGGCTTTTCATCCAGAGAAACAGGTCCCATAAGCATCCTAAGGGACATTAGATCACTGTCTCTGTGACTCTGCCCAGCCATCTTGGAAAGAAGGAGGCCTTCTAGAGAAGTCTGCAAAGCCATGGCTAGGGGGTAGAGTTGACGGACGACAACCAGTTGAGCTGACCCAGCAACACACTTTCTGCTTCTCCAGGACTGTTTTCCACATGCTATCATGTACGACCCAATTAGGTCTGTGCTTTTGCTCAAATTATTTGCTTCTGAATGTAGTTAGAAAACTATAATGTTCATTTGCTTTTGCTTCTATCCGTAAAGAATACTTACGCATTTAGAGCTCTGTTTGGTTGGTGCTGATCGTATTTGATAACATTCACAAAATAACTTGTTTATATTCATTTTCTCATTTCTTCCAACCCATAATAACTCCTTGGGGAGGGACAACATCTGCTCCTTTGAGATGAATAGCTACAGCCTTCTGGATGGTTTCTCCAGGCTTCAGACTCCAGGGAGCTCAGCACTCTCCAATTCTTTTGGATTCCCTAGATTTCTGCACAGAAGTTTATGGAAAGCAGAATTGTAATGCTGAGGTGTTAATTAGCTATCAGAAACCTGTGAAAGAGAAAAGAAATGAGCCTAAGAGAAGATATTAAAAAAGAGAAAGAAACAAGGAATATTTACAAAAGATTTCAAAGACCTTTAAAATCAATAATAAATTACCTCCTCAGGGATTAAAAATTCTGTAATGAATATTAAATTTCTTCTGCTCCCAAGTATTTAGTGTCTTTACTGTTAAAATATCAATATTGTGTTTTCCTAGACTGAGACTTTTAAATTCCAGGCATTTAGATTTAGAATTCAATACACAGCTTATTAAAGTGTGGGAAGCGTTAATGTAATTCTCTAATGCTCTTATAACTATGTCCCAAAGCCCGAGAGCACATATGCTATATGGGCCAATTAATATCCAAATTTCATAATGCATGTCAGCACCATAGGCAATTAGAATTTAAAAAAAAAAAGATTACCTTTCCGATGCTAAAATGACATTGGACATTTAACAAACATTCATGGAGGGCCTACTGAGAGTGGAAAGAGGGTGGGGAGGGGGGTGAGAATAGAGAAGAGAATGAAAGTAAGGGGAGGGGAAACAAGGAAATGACCAAAACACCGTACAGGTTGAGTACCCCTTATCTGAAATGCTTGGGACAAAATGTGTTTAGGATTTTGGATTTCTTCAGATTTCAGAATATTTGCATATACATGAGATATCTTGGGGATGGGACCCAAATATAAACACAAAATTTGTTTACATTTCGTATTAGACCTATATACATAGCCTGAAAGTAATTTTGCACAATTTTTTTTTTTTTGAGACTGAGTCTCACTCTGTAGCCTAGGCTGGAGTGCAATGGAATAGTCTCGGCTCAGTGCAATCTCCACCTCCTGGGTTCAAGTGACTCTCATGCCTCAGCCTCCTGAGTAGCTGAGACTACAGGTGCGTGCCACCACACCCGGCTAATTTTTGTATTTTTAGTAGAGACGAGGTTTCACCATATTGGCTGGGCTGGTCTTGAACTGGCCTCAAGTGATCCACCTGCTTCAGCCTCCCGAAGTGCTGGGAGTACAGGCGTGAACCACTGCATCTGGCCAATTTTGTATAATATTTTTAGGAATTTTGTGCATAAAACAAAGTTTGTGTACACTGAACCATCAGAAAGTAAAGCTGTCACTATCTCAGCTACTGTGGACAGTCTGTAGTTGTTTGGGATCACCATCACTCCTGACTTTTAATTTACATGCTACTGATAAGCAACCATTTTCTTACACTTATTCACACATAACTACTTAACAGAAAAAAATGATTTACCATTATTACAGTTTAAAAAGAGTGGTGTAACTAAGCAGCACAGGAGCATCATCAGAACACCTGTATCAGCTGTCAGCAACAGGCCTGGTGTGGTGGCTTGTGGCTGTAATCCCAGCACTTTGGGAGGCTGAGGCAGATGGACCACTTGAGATCAGGAGTTTGAGACTCGCCTGGTCAACATGGTGAAACCCCATCTCTACTAAAAATACAGAAGTTAGCTGGGCATGGTGGCATGCTCCTGTAATTCCAGCTATTCAGAAGGCTGAGGCAGGAGAATAGCTTGAACCTGGAAGGCAGAGGTTGGTTGCAGTGAGCCAAGATTGTGCCACTGCACTCCAGCCTGGTGACAGAGCAAGACCCTGTCTCAAACAAACAAAAAACAAAACAAAAAGCAACAACAGATAACAGTAAGCTTTCGATCTCCACATATAATGCTGTATTTTGATTTAAAGGTTACTAAACATTATATTTTACTTTTTTAATGAGAAGAAACATCAGAAGTAGTTGAATGACAAGGAAGTGGGTCTTCTAGGGATGAGGAGTTATTCGGCTGGGTGATTTTTTATTTATTTTTTTATTTTTATTTTTTGAGACGGAGCCTTGCTCTGTCGCCCAGGCTGGAGTACAGTGGCGTGATCTCGGCTCACTGCAACCTCTACCTCCCGGGTTCAAGCGATTCTTCTGCCTCAGCCTCCCGAGTAGCTGGGATTACAGGCGCGTGCCACCATGCCCGGCTAATTTTTGTATTTTCAGTAGAGAAGCGGTTTCACCTTGTTGGTCAGGATGGTGTTGATCTCTTGACCTTGTGATTCACCGGTCTTGGTCTCCCAAAGTACTGGGATTACAGGCGTGAGCCACCACGCCTGGCCTCTGCTGGGTGGCTTTTTAAAATGTTTCCTCCGGAGTCATCTGCCTCATTAGCATTAGTTTTTGTCCTAAAAGTCTCTTTGATTTTACAGCTGGCGTGATTTCTTGCTTTGTTAGGAGTGCACCCTGCTCTAGTCCTTCAACAAATAAGCCCATCGCACATTTTCACCATGTCATCTAGAGGCGTGAGCCACCGTGCACGGTCCTATGTCTTTAGTCACTGTGTTCCAAGCCTTGGAAACAGCACATACAGCATCCTTCATGCCAAACTCCTTTTAAAAACCTTCTACACTCACGCCTCTGTTCAGTGCTGCTAGTATGCTTTTCAAGAAAGTGTTCTTATAATTACTCTTCATTTGATATTTGGTCACATAGCTGAATTAATGAAGTCACATTTTTGGGGAAAGTATATGGCATAAATGATTTTTTTAAATGAGAATTTCAACAGGAGAATGAGAAAGTCAGTGGTCAAGGAATAACAACATCTTGCAATAGTCATTCAGTTCGGCTTTTCCGCAGTGAGCACTAGCCAACCACTGGTACAAAATGTTTGTGATACTAGTCAGGAAAGACGTCCCTGCTGATCCATGCCTTTTTGTTAGCATAATAATGGACTAGTAAGAAATTCATTTCTTGAAAACAGCCAGGGATGCAAGCTTTTGCCTATTACAGCAAGTTTACCCTTATGTGTGCTGGCTGCATTAGCACATCCCTGCACAGTTATTTCGTCCTTGGCATCCTTAACTCCCACAGGGGCTGTCTCATCAGCTGCAGTCAGTGTCTTTCTGGGGCGATAATACTAAAGCAGTGATGTTTCATCAGCATTATAGACTTGTTCTGACGTCAGATTTTAATCAGCCATCACCTTGGCAAACTCGTCAATGAATTTCTCTACTGGGGAGAATTGCTTGAATCTGGGAGGCAGAGGCTTCAGTGAGCCGAGATCTCACCACTGCACTCCAGCCTGGGTGACAAGAGCTAGACTCTGTCTCAAAAAAAAAAAAAAAAAAAAAAATTATTTGCTGCCGCATGATCAGCAGATGCTTTATTAGGACTAAAATCTTTAACAATTTAATGCTGTGTTTTTTCTTACGTTTCTTCAATCAGACTGTTGAATATCACAGTTTCCTTCAGTTTTCAGTTCACCTTGAATAGATGTTTTCTTGTTTCATGACCAGTATACCATTAAGTGGCATGTGTTCACTGCAAAGCTGACAGATCCACTCTTTCAATACATGATCAAAATCTGCATTTTTAGCTTTATGCAATGTTTTCCCATTTTTCATTAACTTCTATTCATCACTTTCAGCATAGAACTTCAACAGTGTATCCTTCTGATTCTTCAGGTCATATATGATGGTCATTCCTACCCCATTCTCTTCCGTAAGATGTTTCACACATCCTGTCCAGATTCTCCAACAACTAAAATTTCTGTGCTATAGATTAACATAAATGCTTCCTGTATTTCTTATCATTGTTACCCATGGGGTATTTCCAGGCCCTTTTGACATTTTAAATAATATTTTATACCATGGAGCAGAAAATAAGCAAACAAACAAAAAACACACTGAGCAATGCACTTGACCCAATGTGGGGCATCGTGGGGAACCTGCCATGGGAGAGTCCAGCCTGCACATGTGCCATTTTATTATACAAGGTGGGTGCGCCCACACAGGGAAGTCTGCGTGTGCATGAAAAAAAAAATATCACAGCTGATGGGGGCTGCAGGGGGTCTTCTCTCCCGTGGGGACACTAAGTAAACTGTGTGCCGTATACCTGTGTCTTGACTGTGACCCATCACATAAGGTCAGGAATGGAATCTTCCACTTGTGCCATCAGGTCAGTGCTCGAAAACATTCAGATTTTGGAGCATCTCCGATTTTGGATTTTTTGATTAGGAATGCTCAACCTGTACCTGCATTCAAAAGGTGTTTAGAATCCCATAAGGGATGGAAGGATAAATGGAGTGTAAAGGAAGGTACCCTCAGTATGCTGACATTTGTATACTGACAATAGAAACAGGCAGCCTCCTGTTTTTAAATTGTAGAGTCACTTTTTATGAAACCTGGAATCCAGGGCTTTGCTGAACAGACTCAATTGAAGAGCTAAGATTAGTAGCTAAGTTTTTTATCCTAGAGCTTGTAATATTTCTAGCTCCCAATCAAAACACAGAAAAACTCCAAGTGAAAAAACAGGTTTCACTTGCTACTGCTGAGACAGCTTTTGTAGCTCAAGAGTTCTTTGCACTTGTAAGGAAGCTTTACAACTCAAAAGGCTGACAATATTGATAATATAGGATCCAAGGTCAGTAGATGGAGTTTCATCCAACCTCCCTCACTTAGAAGACATACAGCCTTGAGCACATCCCCTTCACCTCTCTGAGCTTCAAAGGAGGCAATACACAAAAACTGTTTATACATACTATAAAGTTGGAAACAAAAGTCAGTTGGTGTTACCATTGTTTGCTTATATGATGACGATTGAGACCATTCACCAAAATCACACACTACACCAGGGATAGAAATGATCCAGAAGGAATAGAAAATTTACTTCCTAATTAGCCTGTGCCTCTTTAACTGAGCTCTAGTTTACAGTTCTACTCCGTCCTGTAACTGTCCAGCTTCACTTCCTGTCACACCTCTGACACTCAGCCACGTTGACCACTGCTGAAACATTACACATCCTTCAGCTCCTTTACGACTGTCTTAGCACCCTAAACCTGCACTTTGTTTACCTCCCTAGAATGACACCTTATTATATTATAAACTGTCCCCTCAATAGACTGAGAACTCCTTGATGACAGAGATCATGCATTATTTATCTTTGTACCGATGTCAGAGTAACTTGATAAACATGGATGTGGATTGTTGAATGAATGGATGGATGCTAGTACATAAGTCATAATTTCTGCCCACAAAGGAAGAATTGTAACATACTCCAAATATGTGCTTATGTGGATTTCCCCACAGCACTATCACTTGGATACTTTTTTTTTTTAAACAGTGTCTCACTCTGTCACCCAGGCTACAGTGCAGTGGCACCATCATGGCTCACTGTAGCCTCAACCACCCGGGCTCAAGTGTTAATACAGTTTTATTTATTTTACTTTATTTTCACGACGGATTCTTGCTCTGTCACCCAGGCTGGAGTGCAGTGGCACAAGGTCGGCTCACTGCAACCATCACCTCCTAGGTTCAAGCAATTCTCCTGCCTCAGCCTCGCGACTAGCTGGAATTACAGGCATGCACCACCATGCCCGGCTCATTTTTGTATTTTTAGTAGAGATGGGGTTTCAGCATGTCGGCCAAGCTGGTCTCAAACTCCTGACCTCGTGATCCACCTGCCTCTGCCTCCCAAAGTGCTGGGATTACAGGCGTGAGCCATCGTGCTCAGCCAATACATTTTTAAATATCAGAATTATTGAGATACTATTCACATTCCATAAAGTTTAGCCCTTTAAAATGTACAATTCAGTGGTTTTTTAGAATATTCAGAGTTGTGCATCCATTCCCACTATCAAACTGCAGAACACTCTCATCAGCCTGAGAGAGTCCTATCCATTAGCAATCACTCCCCAGCCCCCCCACCCACCCCCAGCAACCACCAGTCTACTTTCTATCTCTATATTTCCAATTGATTTCTTGCTATACAATATACATAGCATTATATATGAGAATGCAACTCTTCTCTGCACAGAAAACAAATAAATGCTGAGGTAGCTTTGATTTAGCATCAAAATACAGAATCAATCTGCAACCAGCTCTATGACCTTGGACAAGTTGTTTAACTGGATTTAGTTTCTTCATAAGATAAGTCTAGAGGTGTGTAAGGACACCTTCAGGTGAAAAAACAAACAAGCAAAAACAAAAAAAAGCCTTGGTGACAATTCCAGTGCTCCACCCCAGACAACCTTTCCTGGGCTTCTGTGAGAAACGAATTTATACAAACAAGATTTCACACCACAGCTGCCGCGGCTACTGTCCTCCCCGCGCAGAGCTCTAGAGATGTTTTCTTCTTTTCTTTTCTTTCTGGCCGTCTATTTATCTCTGGGCTGGCAAGGAGAGGGAGAACTGCAGCGCCCAGGAGCGGAGGCCGAGCGCGCCGGTGCCCGCAGGAAGCCTCGCCCAGCGCGGACCGCACCCTCCCGCGGCGCCCCTGGAGAAGCCGCCAGTCTCCGGGCCGCCAGCAGCGCGCGCCCCCGGAGTGGGAGGAGCGCGGCGAGCAGGGGCGGGGCCAGCGACTCCCGCAGCCAATCGGGGCGGCGGCGCGTCCTTGGGGGTCCGCGGCTCGCTGGGCGCGCACGGGGCGGGGCTCCGCTTGACCGTGGCGGTCGCCGGGCAGCAGAGCCCGGGCGCAGCGAGCGCAGCGCAGCGCAGGGAGCGCAGGCGGCGGCGGCTCCAGGTCCCCGGGGCTCCACCGCTCGGCGCAGCGAAGTAGCCTCCGGCGGTGGCAACTACGGCGGCGGCGCCGGGGCGATGCTGTGGGTCTCGTTGGGCGCCGGTGTCCTGGCCTCTTCTTCAGGTACCCAGCCCCGCTCGCCCCTCGCCCCGGGGAACCGCAGCGCCCGGGAGGCAGCTTTGTGAGGCTGTGGGCTCCGCGGCCGGGGAGGTGGGCCGGGGAGCGGGTGGGTGGGGCCGGGCGGGGCTGTGCGGTCAGGGCCGCCTTCACTCGGAGGAAGAGGGTGGGGACCGAGGGAAGCGGGCGGGGGTGGGAGCGCTGTCTCCGGGCTGCAGCTGATGGCATCCCCGGGCTCCGTCCTCCTCCTGCCTCCATGTGGGTTGAAAGAGGTTTTGTTCCAGGAGAAAGTTTGATGCCCACACTTGAGGAGCCAGACTCGGGGGTCCCTGAGGTCCGCGCCTTTAAAGAGGCAGCCCACCCTGCCGTGTGAGCCCGTGCCCTGCGTGTGGGCACGTGGGAACCCGTACTCGAGCAGCATTCCTGACACGGGACCTTCCTTGAGAAAATTCCTCTGTGGGAATGCCCCTTGGGTAGGGGGCTTTGTGAAGATGGCACCCAGAGCCCGCACAGTGTGGGTTTTGCTTGAAAACAGTGCAGCAGGTAGTCAATGGCCCCATGTTATCTCCCGGTAGAATGGACTCGACCAAGATCTGTGCTCTAAGAGCTTCAAAAATTTAAATCTACCTTGCCGTCTAATTAAACATCCCCAAACACTATTGTGTCCAAGGTGCTAATAATTACTCTGTCGATTCTTTAATATTTTCTTATTGCCCTTGCTTTCAGTCGGCTTTTGCAGTTTTGGAAAGGGTGCTGTGGATCGTACCAAAGTGGGCAGAAGTTATGACTCACCTCTCAGGGCTATAGCCCAGTGCAAAAAAAATACAGAATACATGCCTGTCCACTCGAAGATAGAAAGTTTCAGCCTTCAAAGAAAGATAGATTAAGTGGGGATTATTTGCTTTACAAAACTTCCTCCAATGTAGAGAAGTGATACTTAGAGTTAAAATGGAATTTTACACAAGATTGTAGGAACACATCTGTCATAAAGCGGCTCAGGGTAGAGGTAGTGACATGTAGATATCGCTTAGTCTTGCCATTAAACAAATCTCAAAAAATGCATGTTAAATTCTGCATCATTCTCACTGATCACACGTGGTTGTTCACATTTACATTTTAGCTTTTTTATCAAGACGTATTCCTACCATAAGACAACTTCATAATTCCCTCAAAACACCTTAGCCAAGGCCATTTTGTGGTCCGTATAATTTACCCCCTTGCTAAGAAAACATATCCGTAAAAACATTTACATTTAAGGGAATTTCCCTAGTGGTGACGCAGTAGTGTCTATACATTGAGCACATTCTATTCACCAGACACATTACTAGGTGTGGACATATATTACTACTTTAATTCTCGCAATCAGTCTAAGGAGGTATTATTATTAGTTTCCCTATTTTTGAATTTAAAGAGTTCAGGTAATTTTGCCAAGATTATTGAGCGTGTAAGTGACAGAGGCTGGATTTAAACCTGGATCTGTTTGGCTCCCTGCCCATGGTCTACGCTGTCTCCCAGTTCTTCTTGAGAGTTGCCCTTATTGTAATGCAGTGGCAACATATGCTGTCTCTACTGGCCTGGTGCATCAGACCCTTTACAGAGTGTTTTCTCCCTCTGGAAACCCCCACTGTGTGCACATGTACTGAAGGATAACACTGGCAGTCTCCAGACTCTCCCTATTCCATCCCCAGCATAAAAATCAGAGGAAATATCCAAACATGTAAACCCACCTCATTCTTTCAGATAAGTTGTCCCCAGAAGACAGGTAACCAAATGTTTCCCTTACTGGCACTTAAGGAGCAGTCTCTACCCTCTCAATCATCCAAGTCTATTTTAGCTCTGCATATGGAAGTACACCCCATCGGTTGGCAACAACACATCCCCTGCAGCGTTCACACTGGCACGCTCGTTCTCTTGTACCAACTGTCAGAGAATTTCTGACCTGGGCCAGGCTACCTAAAAGGAAAGACTGAAATGAAGTCCCTGGGGAAAGTGGTATTAGTTCCAGGGAATCCCTGAATTCTCCATGCAGGGCCCTAGAAACAGAAAGCAGGCCTTCTGCAGAGTGGGAAATACCACGTATATGGTGCAGTCTATTTTCAACACTATTGAAATATGTGTTCACCATATAAAACTGTGCCTGTTGTCTTGGTGATGGATGTAGCCACACGCCTATTCCTGATTTGATACCCACTTTTACGTTAAAAGTAGTTGTTGCTTGGCTGAATGGTGTCAAAAACTGGTGTCACAATTGTGACAGTATGTTTTGAAGCTGTGCCTAAAAAATTATTTCTATTATAATCTACATCCATTGTTTTATAATTTATCTTCCCTAGAGTTGTGTGTGTGTGTGTGTGTGTGTACGTGTGTGTGTTCTCTTCCTTGGTATGGTTTTTAACTGTCTCTGGTTCCAAAATAATTTGCAGTAGTAAGCTTTAAAAAAAGTTCGTTTTTGAGCTGTGACCATATGCTGCCTGGAAACGTATCCTTATAGTTGGCATTTTACTCATGTTACTCTTATGCTAAGAATCTCAAAGTCCCATATGCATGCTTTGAGATTTCAAATGGACCCTCCTGTCTAAGTATTTCACTCCATTCTTGGTAGCAGTAGTAAGGTTTGAGTTTGGAATACAGATCCAGCACGTCACTTCTAATATCTCTAAACTGCCAAAAATCAAAGCAGCACCAACTGAAGTTGGGAAAGAAGAACATGAGGCTTTCTTATCACACTCTTACATCAGAATGGAAGGTGTGCCCAAAACATTGTTAGAAATAAGAGTGAATAGACCTTTTGAAGTGACCAGTGATCTGCAAAACTATACCAAATTATTGAAATTGTAGTTTTTCTGACGTTGTGCATTTGCAATACCTTATTAACTTAAAACTGTCCAGAATCGACAAACTTCCACTCTGTATGCTATTCTCTTTCTAAAACTTCTTATTAACTAGCAATCCATCTTATTTCTATATTTCATCAAATTAAAAATGCCATCAGTTGTAAGACATAGCGTTATTTTGCTGCTGTACACAAAAGAGAAAATATTGCCAATTTTATTATGACATTCCACTTTAAGGATATTCTTCCATAGTAATGCATGAATAGGTCACACTAGTCTCTCATTGCTTTCAAGTTTCCTTCATCTCTTCCTTGGGTTTGGATACATTTTCCTGCCAGTGTTATTGGTAGCATTGCTTGGGGTGTGACGGGTCACTTGCGTGAATCTCGGTAACAAACTATAACATAGCGTCATTAACTTATGTGTTTCTTTATTCAGTCTGGTAAAGCATTTGGATCTTGCTTTGTAAAATGATATGGAAATGCCAAACAAAGACAAATGTTTCCTTTAGTAATAGAACGTTTATGTCACACTGCTGTTTTGGTGCCTTCATGCATACACAGTAATGCCTCCTTGCAGTGCCAAATGATAGTGTAATCTTTTTGAAAACCGTTTCAGTGGCAATTAAACAGAACACATGCAGTGCCAACAATGCCCATAACTCAGTAGAAGTGAAAACAAAATGAATAGCTGTGACCAAGTTTATGCACGTGCAGGGACATGACAGTTGTGCTGTGAGTACTGCCAAGTTGTAATTTTAATATACCATAAATGTTAAGACATACCTTGATTTCAGGGATGTTAAAATGTGAGAAAGTAATCTTATCAGTGAAATATGGTAATCTGTGTTCACTTAGTTTCATGATCCCTAACCTGATTACGTTTTTTATGTATTCATTCATTTATACAGTTATTCATGGTGTTAGACTTCACACTGCAGGAGGGCGAGGACTTTTTCTGTCTTTTGTTCTCTACTATTTACCAATTGCTTAGGACAGTCTGTTATACATAGTAAACCTGCTCAATAAAATAGATAGTAGAACAAGTGAGTATAAAATAGATAGTAGAATGAGTGAGTAAATATCCTCCATGGGAGCCGTGGAGACACATTGAGAAGCTCACTACCCTCCTGTTGGTTAGAATACATATTCTTAAAATTACGACACTGACAGGAATGCCAAACGTGAAAAAGGGGAGCAGGCCAGCATGCAGTCCTTGATTTCATTTACAGGGTCCTATACCAAATATACCATTACAAAGCTAGTTTAGGATAGAAGAAATTCCATTATATCTTTTATTCATCTTTATCACTGAAGGATTATATAACAACTTACATCTTGGTTCTGTTGTATGGTCTAAAATCATTAATTTCTTGAACTCTGTACTTAGTCCAATTTTACATACTTGTCCTATTGTACATTTAACATCTACCAGAATTAATGGGGAAATGTCTGTAGGCCTCTCTGAAGCAGAAACTCAATACTCGTGGCCTTGCTTGGAAATACATCCTCAAGAATATATATATATATACCTACCTAGGTACTTTGCCCTAGAGTCCATTTTCTAACCCCCAAAATGGCCATCTTTACATTTTGACATGTTACGAAGAAAAAGAGAAAGAAACCTTGCTGGGCAACACAGATCTCCATCTGCCAGTGCCTCTGCTTCCTCACGGCTGCCGCCTGCTCAAGCAGAGCGCACATTTAGACCAAGGACAGGATGCTGGATGAAGATGCCAGCAGAAGGAATGGCACAGAAACTAGCTTAGCACCCTCTCTGAAGCAGTCCCAGGATCTAAAGCCAGTCAGTATCTCCCAGATAACCCCGCACTCAGTGTAGGAGCTAGACCTGCAAAGACACACCCAGCTTCTGGTCCAGTGAAATGTAGGACCTTTGAACACGTATCTTACATACTGAGGCCACTAGTGGGTTCCAGCCTGCTAGCTCAGGGGAAGATAATGTGGGCAGAGTGTCCTTATTGCCTGTCCCCAAGTACGGTGAAGCAATGTGGCGTGGTGGTGGGTGCTGTGAAGCGACATGGTAGATAGCCAGAGCTTGCCCTTTCATATAGTAGAAAATAATGATTAATTAAATCTTTTTGGTTATTCACTAAAGGAACTTACATATAATTGCTTTTATTAAGTATTGTTAACATGGGCCAGACAAGGTAAT